CTGCAAGACAGCCCGTTGAAATTCAAATCTTTAATAATTATCTTCATTGGGAACCATGGAAAACGTTAGGTGTGTATGAAATACAAGAAGCAACACATTCACACCCTCTCACTCACTCACATTCCTAATTAGGTGGTGGTTGGTTCTTTTTTTGCCTAACTCTTAGAGCCTTACCATAAGCTGCTCATTTTGACCCAGCTGCATAAGTTCACCATGTCTTTCTCACCCCCTTTACGACTGTTTGTGAGGGTGGATAGTGATAGGACAAGGACGAATGGTTTTAAACTGAGACAGGGGAGGTTTAGGTTAGATATTAGGAGGAAGTGTTTCACACAGAGGGTGGTGACCACTGAAACAGGTTGCCCAAGGAGGCTGTGGATGCCCCTGGATCCCTGGAGGCATTCAAGGCCAGGCTGGATGTGGCTCTGGGCAGTCTGGTCTGCTGGTTGGCAACCCTGCACACAGCAGGGGGTTGAAACTGGATGATCATTGTGGTCATTCTATGATTCTATGACTTTATGACCATCACTCTCTCCTCATAATGATTTGTGAATCTGTTGGGTGTCAGTACTTGCCCCAGCTGATACCTGATATGATTTGGATGCAAATACAGGGCCAAGATAGAAAAGAAATTCCCAAATTCTTGTCTGCTCTGCACTGATCCAGAACTGCAAGCAGGGCCATTCTATTCCAGAAAACTCATGTGGGAGAGAGAGGTAACAAATGCCTCAACCCCAGGAAAAAAAAGAAAAAAAAAAGATCAGAGATCCACCTTATTGATCTATAGACAGACAAGCAAACAAACCCACCGGAGATAAGATTTCATAAATCTGACTACTCACAGAAGTATTTCATTCTACTGAACGCAGCTTTGGAAATTTTCTGCTTTGTGTTCTAGAAGCTTCAGGCAAGAGAAACAACGAAAAAAATTGAACTGCAGTAAAACTCCCAGTATCAGCAGCACACTCTTGTATTTTCAAGATAAACAGAATGCAACCAATCCATCCAAAATGAGACATCAGACAACAAATTTCAACTCTTCCCTAGCAGAAAATGGGGCATAACTTTCAGCAGCCAAACAGTCCTTTTGGCTTTAAATTTAATTTACTACGAAGTTATATAAGAGAGAGATAACATGACAGTTGTTGTATTTCTATAGCACTTTTGACAAAGCAAATGTATCACTAAAAACATCATAATCCCCATTCTACAGAAGAAACTCTGACCCATAGGTACTAAAATCTAACAAACAAGAAGCCCCATTTACCTTACAATCTTAAAGTTTTGCTGCCAAAAAGAACTGGAATGATCTAGACTTAGTATACAGCTCAATACAGTTGGAGGACTGCTATGTTGAAGGACATTTCATGGAGTCAGTATCCCTGTGCATAATCAAGAAGTCATAATTACAATATAATTGCACAACCAATAGACATCAAGATGTTATAATTACAATATAATCAAGAGAATTAGGCAAAGTAAACAACAATCACAAAAGAGAATTAGTGGAAGAGCTTACCCTTTGGCTGAGCTCACCAGAAGACACCAAGAGGGGTGATCTCCAGAAGAGATCCTTCCCCTCTGGTAGCCAGCTCTTAAATAGGTCCAGGAGGGGTGCAGCCTGGCTCCACCCCTTCCGGCAGCACAGTGAATTGCCTTCACCTGTGCTCCTCTGGCTGACTCATGGCTCGCCTCAGGTGATCAATCAGAGGTTCAGGCCGTGACTCAGCAGTTCCCATACACCCTGAAAGGGCTTTCCACAGTCTTTGCATGGTCAAAATCTGTTTGACTGGCACCTTCTTTATCCTGAGACAAAATACCAGCAAAGTATTTGCTTTCGGGATTCTTCTCGCATGGAAAAAACCTGCCAGCTTTTTGCAACGCAATACCACAGTGCCAAAACAGCAGCATGTTCCAAACATGCTGCAGTGGTTTTTAGTCATGTACACTCTATGTGTCATGGTTCTATGTTTTTGTTTTTGTTTTTGTTTTTTATGGTTTCAGTATTCCACATCAAAACATCATGTAGTGCACGGGGCATTAAAGTGTCACTGCCCCAATTCCAAGTACCTATCCCTGTACATTACAGCACTCACGGGATCTGACCCTTCCGGGTGGGGGGGGCGCTCTCTTGCTGCCTTGCAGTGGGTGCTGGAGGTGCTTTCCTGGCCGTTCCAAGCTTTTCAGGTTTGACTCGGTCCCGGGAACTCTCTCTCTCATCTTGTCTAATTTATTAATCCCAATTTCAATTAAATTGTATATATTGTGTTATCTTGTATTCCGATATTATAGTAAAATAAGTTTTCCTCCACAGATTGTTGCCGCTGCTCTTTTCCTCCCTTCCTTCCTTCCCATTTTTGTGGGACTGGGGTGGGGGGGGAGGGCAAAGGCCTGTCGTCCCTGTCACGGACATAGATTGATCTGATAACTCCGTGACACTATGCTGCCTTCAATGGAGCCAACCAGCTCCATTTGGTATTGCCACTCTGATCCGCTGTGCCCCTGCTTCAGGTGTGGGACACCACGATTCGGTCAGGCAGTTTTGGTGATAGTGAAAGTCTGATTTTCCCCTCGTCTGAGAAAGTTACCACCTATCCCCTCTGAACTGTTCCAGCTTGGTGGGCAAGATGAACCCAGCAGAAGTGGTCACCAAGCTAAATCTCAGGCTGGACAAAGATGAAATCTTTGGATACAGCTATCGAACCACTTTGAGATTCAGATTGGAAACTGTTCAATAGCAACTAGTCTCTAAGATAGCAGTAGTGATAACTCCAGAATATTATTGTGAGGTGTTGGTGGATAGTCAAAGACTGAGGATACTCACACAGCTATGGCACTGTAGCTTTAAAAGCACTGTGATAAAGAGCCGACAGAAGAACCAAATCTACAGGAACAGACTTAAATCAACTTCACTGTACAGCAGTATTATGCAGGCACTAAGTAAGGTTGAAGATAGACTTTTTGCCTCTGTTGTCAGCAAGGACAAGATCACCAATAGAGATATTTACAGATGAACTCCATAACACCACCACCACTAACGCAGGCTTTAAACATACAGGTTAGGATGGAAGATCACTCCATTTTCAGCATTTTGTGCAGTTGATCACCAGATGTCCGTAGAGTAGAGCCAGCCCATAACCTTACAAAAGCATGGTCCAGGTGGCATTCGAGAAAGAATGATGGGTACCTTGCAGATTTTCTTGATGATGTTGCAGGAATTTACGCTGTCACTGCATCATAGAAGATCCTAGAGATGGTGGTGTAACTAAGTACTTTACAAATGATGCAGCAATGGTTTTGCAATTCCCATTTAAAGACTGGTATGGCAGAATTAAATGCTCAGCTGGAAAATGAAGTGTAATATATTGTAGAACTATAAAACTAAATGTAGTATAATACAATTAACAAAAATACTTTATCATCCCTACTTTGAAGGTGTCACTGGTTGGAATGGTGATCTTTTGTTTCGTTTTCTTTTGGTTTTCCTTCCTTTTTTGGGATAGGGAAGACTTACCAGCAGTATGATAAATTTTTGTTCAAATTTTGCAGATTTGGAGAAGAAAAAAACTTTCAAGTTGCAGTCAGCTCCAGCAATTTCTTCAGCAACACAATGCAATTGCTCACTGCCTCCCATTGGTGTTTGGCTTGTCCCCCAGTGTTGCCTGTCTCCCTCAACCAACTCTCGTGGTTTCATTGTTTTTCAACCTACTTCACATTGTATGAAATATCCTTTCGGCCAGTCCTGGTTCTGTCTCCTTCCAGCATCTTGAGCTCAGCTTGTCCCCCTCGCTGGGAGGACAGAAGGAGAAAGAGGAATGTCCTTGGATCTGTGCAGAACTGCTCAGCAACAACTAAAATACTGGTGTTTGATCAATGCTTTTTTTTCTCCTAAAGCTGAAACTCAGCATCATACTGGACACTAGGAAGAAAAGTCAACTGTTCCAGCTGAAACCAGAACACTGACTTTTCAAAGGGGACAGAGAGTGGTTCAGCAATCACTTCTTACAAGTCCATCAGCATGTGTGGGTGCAACCAGCCTGGTGGAGGCATCTGGGCTGGCAAGGCCACAGCTCAGCCCAGAGAGCTGCCCTGCCCTGCCCTGACCGCAATGCCCGATGCGCTGCAGCACCTCGAGGTTTGCAGCATCCCCAGACCAGAACCAGCCATCAGACCTGACAGCACTGCCCACATGCAGGAGGAAAGCACAAGCTCTTACACAGCTGGAAGCAGCCCTGAGGCTGACACACACCCAAGCCCAAATCCGGACGGCCCCTGCCAGTGCAGCTTGGGTTCTTGAGGAATTTGGACACTGCCCCCCACTGGGGATCTGGCCAAAACGGTGCCAGGTGAAGTGAAGTCTGGGAAGGAGACAACCCTGCTGTCAAGGTCCCTCTGCCCACCTCAGCAGAAGCAGGTAAGGATGACGCTGACAAATGTGGGTGGGGGAATTTCTGATCTTTATTGTGTCGGTGTAGCAATTTGACAGATTGATACAATGGGAAAGTGTTATAACAAAGGTGTGATAACAAAAAGACTGGCACGATAGAGCGGTGCTGTAAAGGAAGGCAAGAAGATTGCTTGCCTGTATCAGAAAATTGTAGGTTTGTAGGAAAAAGCTTCACCAAGGAGAAATCTCTGGAAAGAGAACCTTCCCCAGTGGCAGTCAGCCCTTAAATGGGGTCTAAGAGAGGGGCAGACAGACTCCACCCCTTCTGGTTGCACAGCTGAACTACCTTCAGCTGTGCTTCTAGGGCTGACCAAGTCCTTTTCCTAGCTGGTCAATCAGTGGTTTGGGCTGTGATTCAGTAGTTCCCATACAGTTGGACTCGGGACCAGAGAAAAGCAGGTGGGACTGGTACATGGCTACTCCTGTGCAGGCTTGGGGGCTGGCTGCACAGACTTTGGCTCTGATGTTGGATCTAGGAGTAGCTTTATGCCTGAGGTGGTCTCCGGTGGTGGGACTGGCTCCTGCTGCTTACTCAGAGCCAGCTGTGGAAATTTTAATCTCTGCACCTCGCTGGGTAACGGCTTTCTGTGAGAGCCTGCGCTCCATGCACAGATCGTCCCCTTTGTTCAGGCACTGGGGAAGCCCTCGAGGACCTCAGTGTTGCCAGTCTTGCTGATCTGCGGATGCTGCTCTGATCACGAGGAGCTGCTGTTCCTCTGCTCCCATGGCGTCTTCTTGGCCGGCTCTGGGAACTCGAGGCCCGACCTTGCAGCGGGGAGCGGCTTCGTGTGCGGCTTGTTCTCCGCTGCCTGGGACGCCTCCTGCGTGCAGCCCCTGGGGACTCTCTGGAAGATTCTGATGTGCCCCGTCTGGTGGAGGTGCGGGAGCAACACTCAGCACTTTGGGCTGCTGTTTGTCTGCTCCTATGGCATCCTTGGTGCTGCTCAGCCATATCCTCTGGCAAACATGAGGGGATTGTCCTATGTTCTGTCCCCAGCTCGCTACTCTGGCAGCTGAGCTCTGGCAGATGGGAACTGTATGATGGCTCTGATGCTGCCTGGCTAGTGGGGCTGGAACAGCTGTCCTCATGTTCCTGGAGGCTGTGGGATGGCCCTTGCCCATCCTGGTTGGCAGTGCTGGAGCTGGCAAGCTCTGAGTTGCTGCTGGAAGCTGTAAGGGGAGACGGGCAGGTCAGCAGGGTGAACCCCTGAGTTGGGAGAAGCTGACATCCCTCCTGGGGCAGAGAGACTCTGGCAAAGCTGCCCTGAGCACTTGCTGCAAGGCCTTGCCTGGCCCCAGCGCGGAGCCATGTGGCTGATTGCCTCTTACCGGTACCCAGGCCAGCACATCTGTCACACTCCCACGTGGCTGTTGTGTTGTTCAGGTAGGAGCACTCTCGGTGGGTGCCCTCAGCAGCACAGGAGCTGCACAGGAGCAGCTGCCAGGGCCTGGGGAAACAAGGGGGTTGTGGCTTTGAGGACCAAGTGAGTCAAGCCAGAGAGAGCCCGGCACAGCACATCTGCTGCTTAGTCCTTGCTCTCCCAGCCTGTGCTGAGGCTGAGATCCTCCACAGAGCTAGAGAGAGCTGCTGTGGTAACTCACCCCTCTTCTTCTGCCATCTCCCTGCCTTCAGGGTGACGGCACCTGATGGCGTCACAGCGCCTGTGCCTCTGTAGAAGTGATGCATATGCATCATTGTCCTCCTGTTCTGGTCTTCTACAAGAGAAGGAAGGGAAAGTGATGAGGCTCCAGCATTGCCAGCGTCAGATCCAAGGTTATCCCCTCTCATCCACCCCAACCCCATTTCCAGCTTCTCCATGAAGCTGAGGCACGTGCTCCTGTGACGGCCAAAGGCCAGGACTGCCAAGACATTCCCTGGTAGGCCCAGCGCTCATGCCTTCTCATCTGTATGGTTTGGCAGAAGGACACCAACCTGTCTGGGATTTGGATCCCCATGGTGGACATTTCCAATAAGAACAGAAGACTGTTTCGACATCCGGGGCACCGGAAGCATGCATTGCCAGTAAAGGCCTGTTGCTGCAGGAGAAGAACAAGCAGGGTGAGCGAAGTGGTGCTTGGTGCTCACCATGTCTGCAAGGTGAGGGGAGGACTCCTACCTGGATGCAGCCCCGGTGGAACCAAGTGTGTCTGCACGCTGGACAAACCAGGGTGTGGTAGGACAAACTGCCCCCCACAGGCCCAAGGCAGATGACGCAGGTGGTATCTTTTGCTGGAGCTGTCACTGCTGTCTGTCGAGGGCGGTGCTCAAAGCAGTAGGACCTGGGGGAAGATGGAAGGGATGGGCAACGCTGAGAAGTGCTGTGAGGAAGGCAGAGGACCATGAAGAAGCTCCAGGCCCTGTCTCTGGCTCTGGCAGGCTGCTGGGAGCTGTCGCTGCGGGATCCTCCCTGGCTTGGCTGCTACTGACAGCCCTTACCTGTGCTGCCCAAAGAACTGGGTGACGCACTGCCCGTCCTTGGCACACGGCAGGTGGAAGCTTCGTTCACAGCCGCTTTCAGCACAGGTGATGGCAGCACCCCTCTCTCCACAAACAAAGCATTGCTGGAAAGAGCAGAACAGCCCCATCAGCAGCAGGCTCAGGGCCTCCGCAGCCGGCCCCAGACTTCTGGGCAGGGCACAGGGTCTGGGAATTGCTTGGTCACACTCTACAAAGCTGCCTGGTGGACAGGGCGTATTTCCAATTGTAGGACTTTGTCCTGGAGGCAGGTTGGAAAAGTTCCAATTGCTTTCTTGGTGTCCAGGCTAAGCTGGTGTGAGCCCCTCAGGGGACAAATCTGTCTGCTCCATTTAGATCCTCACCTTCTGGTTTGCCTGCTTGGCTTTGAGTGTGATGTCATCAAGGGGGATGCCCACAGTTCCATCTCTTGAGAGTGTTTCTGCATAGAAGATGTTGGCAAAAATCTGTAGGAGAGAAAAGAGCAGGTTCTCATTAGGACAGGAAGGGGAGCATCTCTGGCAGTAATTTGGAAGGAGCCCTTGAGGGAACTCACCAAGCAGAACTCATGGACACGAATCCAACCCTGGCCAAATGTGCGCCCAAAGATGTTTGGGTCATCTTCTGCCCAGCCACAAAGCATGCATGCTGAAAAGAAGAGAGCAAATGTGAGCAGCAGTGAGCACCTTAGAGCCAAGTATCCCTACGGGCCGTCCCCTGGGTCCTGCTCTCTGCCTGCCATGCTGGCTGAGGGGCAGAGCTGGTGGTGGTGGTGGAAAAGTTCCCAATGAAGGCTCAGTAGTGCCAGCAAGCAGCACAGCCCAAGCTGGGCGCCTTGCCAAGCAGTGGAGGGACTCTGCTGAATGGCGGGTGGGAGCTCCTGCCTGCTCCTTCCTTGCCCCTCATCCGCAGGCACATCCCCCAGCTCTCCTCTGCCTGTTGGCAGGATCTGTGCTCAGGGATGCTGTGGTCTCACCTGGCTCCTCCGAGCCGGAGGCCTTCCTCTTCCTATAGGACATCATTGTGCGTTGATAGCGAGCACTGTGAGATAGCGAGCACTGCAAGAGTCCTTGCTCTCTCTGCTCCTCACCAGACCGCACTGATGCTCTGCCTGAGTCCGGCAGCCTTTGCTCTGCTCCAAGCTTCATGTGTCACAATGGCTGCTCTGCGACACCCACTGTGACATCACGGTCACCGCCTCATGTGCGCCTGTGGGCGTGGGCCCTTGGCTTCCATGCAACATAGTGGCAGCTTCACAGCTCCTAGGTCTCTCATGCTTTCTCAAACAAGAAATGCTGCTGGTCCCTTATCATCTCTGCCAGACTCTTTCTAGAACATCCCTGCCTGTTTTGAACAGGGGAGGCCGGAATTGAATACGATATATTCCAGGCATGGCCTCACCAGGCCAAAGAAGAGGAAGAGGATCACCTCCCTCACCCTAACTTCTTGCAGTAGTTAGATCAGGGGACTAAACACACTGAAACCTACCTCTGACAATGATCTGCTCATGGGTTGCTCATCCATTCCTATCGTAACCACTTCCAACAGAATTTTGTCCATCCTCCTAAAACGTGTCCCACATGTCCTGTTTTGCCTTGCCCAAGTCTTCAGACATTTGACTTTGCTATGCCAGAAGGTGTCCAGAATTCACCTTCTTGCAAGTAAGTAATCCAAGACTCTCTGATGTGAAAAGCACTGAAGGCTTATTGTCTGCCCTCACAGAGTTGTTGCATTTCCTCAGCATGCAACAGCCCTTTCTGTTCTCTCAGATATTCACATAAAATGGTAATTTGTGCTACAGCTGCTGAAATGTAAGCCTGGCTTTGGAGGAGTAGGTGTCAAACACTTTCCATCTTACAAGCAATGCGTGTGACTTGAGAAATCTTGCTGTCAATCTCTTTGAGTTTTATCCACATGTTCAGGACCTGTTTGTCTTAGCGAACACAACAGCAGTGAGAAGAAACATTGATGCTAATCTTACGCTCTTCTGAAAGTCCTGTTATTCCTATCAAGATGTCCCCACAGCAAATCTTTGCTGGGACACCGTTGCAGGTTGCCCTAGCCACAACCCTGCGCATGGGAACACAAAGCAGCCACAGACCATGGTTTTCAGGCAGGCAGTAAGAAAAGAGTTAAGAAGACACTGAACAACCTTTGTTGATGTGAGATTCTCACCAGAGTAAAGAGGAATGGAATAAAGTACAGTATAACACATACTTTCTTTTTTTTCCAAGGGAAAACAAGAAGTGCATAGTAGCTTTGGGTTATGAACATCTTGATTTCTCAACACAGTCTCAGCAACTGGCTGCAGTCACTACAAGCTAAGTAAATTTTGGAACCTTTGGAAAACTACTGTTGCCCTTTCTGTAAGAAGCCATTTGTCTTAAGTGTTTTTAGTTCAGCGAGTCCAGAAGTCTCTGCTATGTGATGACAGGAAAAACCATAGTTGTATGTATATTCTTCAGTATATTTATGCCTTCAATACTTATGAAGATGACATTCCTTTGCTGCAATGGAGGTAAGAAGGGGCTAGAACATCTATGAACATCTTAAATCCACTAAAACTTCAGATATAAATCAGCATGCTGTAGAATGAAAACAAAATCCAGAGGCTTTTTCCCTTGTTTGACTTCACTCTTTTCCCATGCTTCCATGCCAGTCCCACGTGCACTGCTCTCCCTGTGTTGGGAAAGAGCATTGCATATAGAAAGCAGTTTGGAATCAAGAATCATGAAGCAAACAACATGGTAGACACCTGAAAACTCTGATGATGCAGGTTTGGCTCTCTTCTACACGCTACACTCATCTGACTTCAGGAACTTTGGTTCACTTTGGGCTGAGCACCTGTCAGCAGCTGGGATAACTGACTGCAAACCAACCAAAAACGGAATGCCTGGGCTGCGCTCAGCAGCAGCTCTGATGTTGGGATTTGGGAAAGGATTAATGTAATCTGCACTATTAAAGAACAGCAGGGAAGGAACACAAACATGCCTGTTACGTAGCCAAGCTTTATTTTACAATAGCTCTTTTCTGTAACTTTGCTATATTTTGAAAAAATACACATTGTTGTCTCTGCAGTGAAGTATGCCAAGTGGGCATCCCTGGTGGGGAAGGAGCCACCCTGCCTGTGTTACCTGGGAGACCAGAAAGACAGTAGAATGTACAATTGCAAGGGTCCTCTGTCAAAGCAAGCAAAACAAATCAACAAAAATATTTGACCTGGAATGTAAAATTCCAGTGCTCCCAACTCATGCAAGTATTAAAGGAAAAGAGAGGAGGTTCAGGCTGAGAAGGAGCGATGAGGAAAGATTTGATTAGGAAAGTTGCAATGGGGGCATAATGGAGGAATGAGAACATTACAATGCACCAGAGGGTCTTGAGTTGAACACTGGGAATTGACTATCAAAATACAGACAGATGAAATTATAAAATGATGAAACCTGAGCACTGAATAATATTCTGCTGGGGATTGTTTTACTGTGCTGCAAATAGCAAATTTCAGCTTGTCTCTGCTTGAAAATCCTTTATGCAAAGAAGACCTTTGGCAACTTATACCTGAATTTGGCATTACAAAGTAACTTTAATCCTCAGAGCACTTTCTAGACAAACCTCACTCCACATCGAACAGGAAGGAGGAAGGGACAAATTTTGTAATTTGTCTCCAAGGACTGAGTTATAATGGAAATATTTATGCAGCAATCAGAGAGCAGCTGTACACCATGCAGATAAACCTGTGAGAACTTTGAATAGCTAAATAGCTGTCTTGGGGACAGAGATCAGGGCAGCAGCCATTAGATGAGCACTCATTTCTTGCTCCAAACCCTGCCTGAGGCACAGGTTATGCAGGAGCTGGGCATTCTTTTTTTGCTGTTGTTGTAGGTCTTCACCCAGATGACTCCAAGAATCAGCTGATGGAAAACAGTGGGGTCCTTAGCTGGAAACATTGGTGTGTGGGTGCACTCTGGAGGACAAATTAGCCCATAGGGATCCCTGGAGCTATAGTGAGTGGCCAGCAAAGTGAAAGCCTACGGAGAAGAGATTTTTCCCCCCAAAAAGAGCCTCAATCAAGAAGGAAGGATAATTGCCTGGCTAATTTTACAAGGAAGAAGAAATACTGCAATTTGTGGGATAAAACCTTAACTAGATTCTGGAAGTGGTCCATGGATCACTTCTATGCTGTTGAGGGAAGGAGGCAGCAGCCCACCAGGGCTAATCCTTGACAATTTTAGGCATGTGGCTCAGCTTTCCTCCCAGAGAGTGGCCAAGTACAAACGGAGATGAGAAGGGGACTCCCTGGGAAGGAAGCAATACTGCAGAGTAAGATTTTGTAGGATGGATTGAGTCACTTGGGAGAATCCCCTGATGTTGATGGAGTGGCCAAGGTCCTCTTTCACCTTCCTACTCCTTTCAAGGATGTTTTCCAACAATAAAAAAAAAAAACACATTTCCTCACTGAATCAGCATTTAGACTGCTGAAACAGTAGAACAGAATGATAAAGTTCCTTAGAGCGTTTTGCCTGGTTTGTTTTGGTGTTTTTTTTTCACAGCATGTGATTCCCAAAATGAAGGGTAGCCAGAAGATGGAATCTAAGATTATAAATAAATGTTAGATCCTAAGAGGCTGTAAACAACTCAACCATCTGTAAATCCTACATTCTATGGGGCAGGTCCTGCTGAAGGGGGATGAAAACTCAGTACAGACACGCTGCTCTTTTCTGCTGTAGTAGTATTTTCCTGCTGAGAATAATGAATGGGCAGAGCCAAATTGCTGCCAGATGATCCCAATCAGCTGTCGTTTATATCAAGACCTGGAAGGCAGGTCAGTCAAGCTGCCCTGACCCTAATATTTTCTGTTGAAAAATAATCAATTTACAAGGCTGGGATGAGTGACCTGTTAGCCCTGTTTGTTGATCCAAAACATAATGGCTCAATGGCTTTAATTATTAAAGCCAGGAAGATACAACCATTGATCATCCCATTTAGTGCCATCTCTCTAGCTTAGATATCAGAATTTTTATCAAGGACACTTGGAAGGAAAGAGAGAGAAATAAAACACCTTGAATGACTGATCCACAGGCATCACCTCAATTTTGGACCCTGATATCGATGGTGCATCTCCTTCAGCCTGCATTACATCTTCTCAGAGCAATCGAGGGATGGCACTTCCCTGAGAATGCAAGTCCTGACTTTTGGCTAATAAGACATTGAAAAGACCATTTATGAGTTGACCCAGATCATCTTTTCTCTCCAACAGTTCAAAAAGCAGTTGGTAGAAAGGACATTAATTGAGTTGGCACTAAGAGGTAATTGAAGATTGTAATTACTCAGTTTTTATAAAGCTGGGAATGTAATAAGGATTTTAAGAAAGTAATAACTGAAGCTTTCTGCAGAGAGATCCCCTGGTGCATACACTTTAGCTAAGGGCCTGGGTTTTTGGAAATACATTTTCTTGTAGTTATTACATCACTGTCTTGCTGGGACATCTCTCCTGAGCCTTTCTAGCTGTAATGGGCTTTGCTAAATCTGAATATACTTTCTCTCTGCATTCTGACTTACTGTGTTGCACTGACACATTCAATATAGCAATAATTCAGAGAACAGAAAACATCCCCATTTATATGCTCTACCTTCTCTGAGCTCCTCGCTTCCGTTTTCAAAGCTGGCAGATTTCTGTCAGTCTCCCAGTTTTTCTTTCTCCTTTGGATGTCATGAGAGAAAAGGATCTGAGTCAATATCTCAGAGGCATATGCACCTCACCTGGTAGCTCCTAGGCTTTGTGGACAAAAGTTGATGCAGATTTTCCCAGCAGGCTCAGAGCACATTTTATCTTGCTGTGTGTTTAGTTGCTTAAATCACAAGACTGCAACTGAAAGATGAACACCAATGAAATGGCAGATTCAGCTTCATTTAAACCTGGTGAAATTTGGCAGAAGTTTCCCTCTCTGTTAACTTCTATCTAAATTATCTACTCCGTTCTTGGGAACTGGACTTCACACTACTGCTTGTGCCATCCCAGAATTTGGACTGAGAACTTGTTCCTCTATTTCAGTGTTAAAAGAACAAAGCAATCTGGCTCCCTTCACAGCAAGGCAGCCTGTTCCTTTTTTTAGGACAGGATCTCCACTTCCACTGCAAAAGACAGGTCAGATAGACAGATGGACCTCAAGAGGAGCATTGCTCTTTCCTTCTCACCTAGCATACACTGTGCTTTGAACTCCCATTTCCTGCTATGCAATGGCCTTCCTTCTGCTCTTTATGTGTCGTAAACTGAATATTTACTCTTTTCTTACCTTCCCTCTCTGCAGAACCATATACAAGTTGAGTATCACACCATATAAATACGTTTAAGTAGTCCAGAGCTGCCTCTTGGCAGAGACCGTAAATTCTTTAAGGTGAGCAGCAAACATGTTCTGAATTTGTACCGTGCTTTACACAACAATGCTGGCAGAATCAGGTATGGCTGTACCGAGAAGAAACATTGATCTTGGATGAATAGTCTGCAGCTCGTGTGTGTATAGTGAGATGAAGAATCAAGGAATCATAGAATCACTCAGGTTGGAAAAGACCTTAAAGATCATTGAGTCCAACCACAACATAATCAAACTACCCTAACAACCCTCCGTTAAATCATGTCCGTGAGCACCACATCCAAGTGGTTTTTAAACACATTCAGGGATGATGACTCAACCTAAACTTACCCTGGCGCAACTTAAGGCCATTTCCCCTCATCCTGTCACCTGTCACCAGTGAGAAGAGACCAACCCCGCTCTCGCTGTAAGCACCTTTCAGATATTGGAAGAGAGCAATAAGGTCTCCCTTATGGTCTGGTCCATGTGCTCAAACTCATCATTTGTAATATCCTTGTTTTTTGCTCAGTTGCTGTGAATGTTTTGTGGAAGAGCAGATGTCTGCACAAGTGACAACCACAACATCCACCCTTATAGTGTGTGAACTGTTGCTCTCACAGTTTTGCCACATATCTCAGCTTGCTCAGCTCTGAGGGATATGAATTGTATCAGGCTCCTAGGATTGTTGTGGAGGCCGTTGGTGCCTGGTTGGAAAATAGAAAAGCACTGGGCAAACACTGAGCAGTGCTCCCTTGCATGAGTCCCGAGGATGCAATAGAAGATATTCCTTCACTCATCACTCATGCCTTCACTCATCTCTGTACACATAGAAAGGATCCTATTCCTCCTTCACATGGTGGCATAATAAGTTTTTCTACATTTGATATTGTGTCAATTTTTACAAATGTTTTAATACATTTTCCAGCTGCAACTGCATTCAAACGTCTCTGGGCGGGGAGGACACATTCGTACTGGGAGGTGTGAAGAGAAAGCCGAAGCCTGACAACCACATTTGAGCTATGTCTTGTGCTGGCTCTCACTCAAGTGCAAACAGCTCATTAGGAGCAGGGTGCTTCTGTCCTGCAGGATGTAGAAGCTTGCTGGCTCAAAGCTTCATTTCAAGACAGGGGTCTCCTCAGTGCCTTCTGCTTAACTAGGACCGTTCCCTCCAGAGAAAAAAAACACTTTCTTGTCCTTTGCTGGGATGTGTCCATCTGGACTGCTTCTTAAATGGCTCTGTTTCCATTCTTTCCCTGCCACACAACCAAATAAAGATTTCTGGAGCTTTGGGAAGAGAAAATTGTATTTAAATTAATTGCTTGTGGTTCTAGATGTAGAACTTCTCTGCATTTTCTTTATCATGTAATTCATCTCTGCATTCACTTATTCGTCCCATTCGTTTTGATGAAAATTTGGTGGGGGTTTCTAAGACCTACTGACTCATCCTGATACATGCTGGCAATGTATTCGGGTCAATTAGACATCTGCCGGTTTCATATTCATAGGCCATGACATATGTTTGCTCAACAGGGTATGGCAACAAGGAGAAACTGAATTTGCATCCTGAACAAGGTGGCACAACGGTGTATCGATATCGTTTTTTAATGAGATTTGCTGGCTTTTGCAGACTTGAGATAGTGTAAATTTATGCTAAAATGTCAACAAATGCCAGTCAAATAAAGTTCTGTATCATGCCTGAATGCAAAAGATGCAGAGAGTTCTGGTGAATCATTTTTGTCAACATGTTAACTCCAGGAATCACATCGATTTACATTTAGTTATACTTGCCTAAGCCAAAAGCTCCGTTCTATGAGTACTTTCTGCCTGTTCAGAGGCAGTTGTTTTAGTTTTAGGAGACCAATTTCTCTCATATATATCATATTAATAGAATCATAGAATGGTTTAGTTTGGAAGGGCCTTTACAATCATCTAGTTCCAATACCCCGCCCACATTTTTTGAAACTGTGAGCTAAAAGTGGATGACCTAAAATCTACAAGACATCAACATAGATCTGAGAGTGTGCAGAATACACCATTGTTTTTGTAAGAGGAGTGCATTTGGGAAAGGTGAAGGTATCGGTGCTGTTTGGTGAGAGGCAGATAAGCATAATGTAATTCCAACTGACCTTTCTCTGCAAAGCTAATTAGGTTTAGCATTGTCCCTGTTGAAATGATGCAGCTCTTCTTGCACTGCTTTCCAGTTTACCAAAGGTCTATTTTATCGTCTTTGTATTTGTGCTGATGTCCTCTAAGAGAGGTGCATACCCAGCCCTGGGCAACTGGCAGCCTAAATAGAAAGCACTGACTCCAGGCACAGCAGGAGCACAGAACGCCATGATGACTTTCCCCAAGTTGGGCCACAGAGTGGTGGCAGACTCACAAAGAGTCCAGATGTCCCAGATGGAGATGATTTAACAGGGACTCTGCCTTTTACTTACATGTACAATGTATGATGGCTGCTCCAAAAGCAATGCTTCCCATTTTATTATGCTGGACCACGATGTCTGAAGCAGATGTTGGTGGTATGGCAGTCGAGGTTGAACCTTCCCACCACTATTTCACCACATTCTGTCACCATGTGATAGATGGCAGAAGAGGAGCAGTCTAACAAAACAGCATCTGACATGGAAATGTGCATGAAAAAAATAACGTAATGAAATCAATGTGAAAAAAAATGGAACTCAATGACATTCATTAATGCTTGTTGAACTATTCTGGACACCAAACAGTGTCTCCACAGCTGTGAGCAGAGTTAAGTGGTACATGGTGCCTTTCAGTAGTGGCAAAAGCGTGAGTAGATAACCTGTGCTGATGCAGATTTTCATAAGCATGGCATACAGGCTCTTGTTCATTGCTAGAGAGGTTGCATATGCTAATGGTGGTGGCTATGTTAAAACACAGTAGCCAAGAATTTGCTCTATAAAATACTGTTCTTGAGCTCTCTGTCTCTTGCACTTACAATTGAAATAAATACAAGGGATTACACTCAGAGTGACCTACATATACACAAGTTTTGTAGCAGTGTGTATTAAAAATAAAGGAAGACAGGGAGTATAAATCTAGCTCCCTCAAAATAAAAAAACATCAGTCGTTAATACACAAGAATGTTAGAGAACACAGTCTGTATGATACGAAAATTTCTATTATTTGCTCCAAGAAGTAGTTGTTCAAGAGTTTAGCTGAGTAACCATTCTTTACCAGTTGTTCCAAATGGAGAGAATTGTATATATTTTAGATAATTAGCTAATTTTACTAAATAATTAAGCATTAATACTAAAGTTGTAAGTTAAATATCACAAAAAAAATAGCCTGGGAAGAATATACGGAGATTGCCTGCATGTTCAGAGATAAGATCAAAAAACACAAGACAAAGATGGAGTTGAAATTGGCAAGGGGCGAGAAAAATAGCAAGAAGGGGTTATGCAGGTACATAGGCAGGAGGAAACAGAGCAAGGAGAGTGTAACCCCTCTAATAAACGAGAACAGAGACCTGGCTTCCTCAGAGATGGAAAAGCTGAGGTGCAAAGTCAGCCAGTCTGAAGATGACACCAAGCTGAGCTCATGGTAGTAATGGTGATGAGAGCTACAGGTTCCTCCTGCTGACCTTCTGCCTCCCCTTACAGCCTCCGCCGCCATCTCGGAGCTCGCGGCACTCAGCACTGCCAGCCAGCAGAGCAGCCTGGAGCCATCCCACAGCCCCCAGGAACACAAGCACAACTGCTCCAGCCCCGACAGCCAGGCAGCATCGGGGCCGTCACACAGGTCCCAGCTGCCGCAGCTCAGCTGCCAGACCAGTGAGCTGGGGACAACCTGCTCACATGTTCCTGACCATCAGGATACAGTGGAGCAGCACCAAGCACAGCATGGGAGCAGCCATACACCCACCCCAGCCACTGAAAGCAGCTCCCGCATCTCCACCAGACGGGGCAGATCGGGATCCTCCAGAGCAGCCACAGCAGCCGCACGCAGGAGGCGTCCCAGGCAGCGGAGAACAAACACGAACAGCTACTCCCCGCTGCAAGGTCGGGCCCCAGGATCCCAGAGCCGGACCAGAAGACCTCGAGGCAGCAGGCAAACACCATTTCCAGCTGCTCAGAACAGAACCCGCAGCACCACCAGAGCGGCAAGGCGGAGGTCCTCGAGGGCTCCCCTGCATTCACACCCTGCGGAGTGGCCCGGGCAGACAGGGGAGGCCCGCATGCGAAGCCGTTTCTCAGTGGCACAACGAGCCACAAATGTCTGCAGCCGGCGCAGAAGAGGCTGCAGGAGAAAGCCCCAACCGCAGAGGCTTTCCCGGCCATGAAGTGACTCCCGGGTCTAAAATCAAAGCCAACAACCACCTCCCATAAGCCCAAAAGAAGATGCCATGTTCCAACAGTGCGGTCTATCCAGGCATGTTGTCACTCCTGGGTGCAACATCGATCCAACATCTGCTGACCCCCCGCACAATCAGCCCAAAAAAGGTGACATGGAAGCAGTTCCAACTGGCGGGGCATCCCAGGCACAAAGGCACTCCTGGGTCTAAGATCGGAGCCAACATCCGTACCCCGGCACAATTCGCCTGAAGGCAGACGCATGGAAACAGCCGCGGGCCAGTACCATGTGCTGGCTCTAGCCCCAAGTGTCCAACACAATAAACCCAACCATCCCCCACCCATTTCTTTGTCAGCTTCTTTTTCTCCGCTTGTCCTGATGTGGGCAGACTAAGGTGCTGGGATCACAGGGTTTCCTCCTCCTTAGCACCTTCCTTGATGAGGCCCTCTTGCTTCAGCTGCAGCAAGTGTCACGCTTGCAGGCTCTTGTCCTGATGGGGGATTTCAACCACCCGCACGTATGGCCGCTGGGATAGCGGCACGGCAGGTGGCAGACAATCCAGGGCATTCCTGGGGCCTGTTGAGGATAACTTCCTGGTCCAGGCATTAGATGGAGCGAGCCGAGGTGAAGCCTTACAAGAGCCGCTCTCCATCAGATTTGAAAAACCATGGCAGTTGGGTGAAATCCCCGGTGACTGGCAAAAAGGAAACATGACTCCAAGTTTAAGAAGGGCAGAAAGGATGACCCAGGGACCTAGAGGCTGATGAGCCTCACCTCTGTGCCTGGGATGATCATGGAGCAGATCCTCCTGCTCACCATGTGAAGGCACACAGGAGACCAAGAGGTGACCCGAGACAGCCGGCGTGGCTTCACCAAAGGCGGATCTTGCCTGACCAATCAATCTGGTGGCCCTTTGTGATGGAGGGTGGCAGCGGTGGACAGGGAAAAGGCGAGGGATGTCATCTCCCCGGCCTTCTGCAAAGCCTTTGACACGGTCCCTCACCTCATCCTTCTCTGTAAATGGGAATGGTATGGATTTGAAGGAGGCAGTGCTCGATGGATTAAGAAGTGGTTGGCTGATGGCAGCCAAAGGCTTGTGATCAACGGTTCGCTGTCTGGGCGGAGGCCGGTCACGAGAGGTGCCCCCTAGGGATCAGGGGGCTTGGGATGGGTGCTGCCATTGTCTGCATGTGTAGAGATGAGATCAGGAAAGCGAAGCCACAGAAGGATCTGAACTTGGAAGGGATGTGAAAAATAGCAAGGGTTTCTACAGGTACATGGGCAGGTAGAGACTGACCAAGGAAAGTGTTCCACCTCTGATAAAAGAAAACAGAGAACTTGGGTCCTGTGCTCTTCAACACCTTGATAAAGGATATAGACGATGGAGTTGGGCGCACTCTCAGCAAGTTTGCAGACAACACCAAGCTCAATGGTGCTGTCGATCCATTCGAGGTAAGGGAAACCATCCAGAGGTACCTGGACAGGCTGGAGAAGTGGGCCTATTGGAACCTAAGGCGTTGCTCTGTGGCTTGGGCAATCCCAGATATTTACACAGACTAGAGGAAGAACCCCTTGAGAGCAAGCCTGCAGAGAAGAACTTACATGTCCTGGTGTTCAAGAAGTTGTTCATGAGGCAGCAGTGTGGCTAGCAGCCCAACAAGCCAGCTGTATCCTGGGTAGTATTAAACAAGGAGTGGCCTGCAGGGAGAGCTAGGGGATTGTCCCCCTTTACTCACCTCCTGTGAGACTCCATTTGGAGTATTGCATCCAGGCCTGGGGCTCCCAGTACATGAAGGCCGTGGAGCTCTTGGAGCAGGTGCAGAGGAGGGCCACTAAGATGACCAGAGGGCTGGAGCACCTCTGCTATGAGGAAAGGTTGAGGGAACCGGGTTTGTTGCTTGGGGAAGAGAAGGATCCAGAAGACCTTATTGTGGCCTTCCAGTACTTGTACTGAGCGTAGAAACAGAAGGGAGCCCCTCTTCAACTTTTTAACAACTTGAAGCTGCAAGACGGCTGGTTGAAATTCAAATCTTTAAGAGCTATTTTCACTGGGAACTGTGGAAAATGTTAGGTGCGTATGAAATACAAAAGGCAACACATTCACATCCTTTCACTCATTCACATTCTTAATTAGTTTTTGTTTTTTTTTTTTTTTTTTTTAATTTTTATTTTTCTCCCAGATCTTTTAAGGAGTTCTTAGAGCCTCAGCATAAGCTGCTCATTTTGACCCTGGTGCATAAGTTCACCATATCTTTCTGACCCCTTTTACAACTGCTTACAGGGGTGGATAATGATAGGAGACAAAGGGGAATGGTTTTAAACTAAAACAGGAGAGGTTTAGATTAGATATTAGGGGGAAGTTTTTTCACTCAGAGGGTGGTGATGCACTGGAACAGGTTGCCCAAGGAGATTGTGGATGCCCCCTCCCTGGAGGTATTCAAGGCCAGGCTGGATGTGGCTCTGGGCAGCCTGGTCTGGTGGCTGACAATCCTGCCCATGGCAGGAGGGTTGAAACTAGATGATTTTTGAGACACTTTTCAACCCAGGCCATTCTCTGATTCCATGAAATGTACTCATTAAAGAGAAAAATCTGCATTTTCTCCCATTTTTCCTGTGTTTTTTACTCTTAGCAAGATGCACTGGTGAAATCAGGACTTCAGGGAAATTCATGTGATTAAATAAATGAGGTTATATTGCTGGACAAAAAGGGATGTATCAGAATGTGAAAAACCTTTTACAGAAATATAGCAGTCTCATCTGACCTGTTTAGGAATGACTCCAGGCTCCTGCTCAATTGTTCCTCCTGAATTTTTCCCATCTCTATGTGCCATACTTCTCATCCAGAGGGCTTTTCAGGAAAGAATCTTTTCAGGCTGTGCTACAAGTCTCCTTTTCTCACACATCCTTCTTCTCTAATGTCCTGGCTCACTTTTTCCCATCTCTATGTGCCACAGAATCCATTGTTCAAATAGGGTAAGTCAACAAGGTGTATATGCAAAGCTGTATCATTTGAGACTTGCTACTTAGGGATACTGCAGTAAGAAAAAGGATGGAGAGCTAGAGTTCTGGGATATAAGAAAACAGGAACACTCCTCGAGGAGCAACAGAACAGGATGATGTTAACTACTTTCATTTTGATCTCATAATTCTTTGCAAGAAGTCGTGGTCATGGTATAAGGAAATGAGCAAATCTTTAAGAACCCTTTGTGTCAGCGTGACTAAGGACACAGGGATGTAGCCATCTGCTCAGCCAAAGACTATGCTTCATTATTTCAGATACTGGGGTCAGTGAGATGATCTCCAGAGGTTTGTTTCAGTGTCAGCTGTCCTCTGATTCTTTAATTTCTTCTATTTCACTGGAATCTGATTGTAAAATAGATCTAATAATGAAAGGAATTGCAATGCGAAGATAGTTTACTCATGGAGATACTCAGGCATACCACCCACAGAGATTGCAAAATATCCTATCTGTATACAAGTTCTGCACCAAAACCTGCAACTGGATGGTTGTTGGTGCGAAGATGCATTTTTTCCGAGGGACTAAGGCACTCCTGAAGGTACCTCAGGTGAGAAAACACACAGACAGATTGGGGATCTCAAGAGGAGACATAAACATGGAGGGCTGCAAGAAGAGAGAGGCTCTTCAACGTTTTCAGTTTCAGCACTAATGAAGAGCAGTGAGCGTGCTTACATTGAAGTTGCTTACTAGGAAAAAATTCTTTCCAGAAAGAGTGGTTGGACATTGGAGCAGCCTGCTCAGGGAGGTGGTGGATTCACTTTCCCTTGTGGTGTTCAAGAAGAGGATAGATGTGGCACTGAGAGACATGGTTTGGTGGGCATGGTGGGGATGGGTTGGGGGTTGGTCTACGTGATCTTAGTGGTGCTTTCCAACCTTAATTATTTTGTTTCTATGATTCCATGATCAACAATTTTTTGGAAAGATGGTAATCCAGTGGAGAATGTTACATCACAGGATCTGGCGGACAATAAGCTTTACCTATCTCAAGAGCTGACCCTGACCATTTCCTGTTATCTAAGCCAATGATTCCACTGCTATTTAGAATAGTGCAGGAATATCCTTGCATAACTTTGCAGCTAAATTAATCCTTGGTTTGAGTGCGTGTGTGTGTGTATGAACAATAGATTTTCTGTGCTAAAACTATCAAAGCCTCTGACAGGCAGCTGCTCTGCTCCCTTGAGCAAATATCTTACAAGGAGCTGCTGCAACAGCCCTGATTTGCATGTTTGATGCATTGCTGTGTCTCAGTTTAAAAGGAGGCAATCTGCTGGGTCTTAGTTCATTGCATGCCTGTTGAAGCACTGGACTGCAGCACAGTAGCAATGGTGGAGTTTTTTTTGAGACACAGAAATAATTTTCTCTCCCAGGAGTATAATTTATATCTTGATTAATCTAAAAAATTTGGGGGTTGTATGCTAGGGGATGCAGGGGGAATTTTTTAGTAGCACAAAAAAGGAAAGGAAAGCATCTGCTGAAATTGCTTTCATACTGGAAAATCAGCTACACTTAAGGCAAATGCAGTGCCTCAGCAGAGCAGAGACAATTTCAGGTAATTAATGTTCTTCCTTTACCAGCACTGGGAAAATCGTGGACTTTAGCAGGAGATTTATACAACTTCAAGTCAAAACTTGAAGCTGTGGAAAGAGGGTGATTCATAAGAGAAAGTTCAGAATTGGCATGCCGGAGCTAAGTCCTGAGTCAAGGACGCTGAGTTGTAGTTGAGGTTTAAGCCATTCTCTTCCATAGGTAGTGAGTTGCTTCTGAATCAGACATCCTCCAAACAAACCCATGTTTGGGAAATAGATGCAGTAATCCCTTGTTTACCCAAACAGCAGGGAACTGAACTCTGCTTTACAGCTCCAGGAACACATGCCTGCCCTGGCATGTGACAGCGACAGCAGTGGAAGCAGTAGAATTTTTTTGTCATCTCAATGGATACCTTCATCAGCCAAGAAAGTTTCATCTTGGAG